AAGTTTAAGGCAACTGTATAATGTATTTGCTTACGAATAATTGAATTAGAAAATGTTATACGTAAAACTTCACACATAAATACTTTATATATACAGTTTGAATCGTGTGATTAATTTAAAAAAATATTACAATACAGTAACAAATACAACTGATGTGGCACCTCTATTTAAATTTACTTATGGGCAAACTGCGTAACGGTGGGGCAATTTTGACAAAGGTCAACAACGTCATCACGATGAAGTAGTAGTATTCTTACAGTTTGGGCAATAGTGATTACGATTACAAATTATATGAAACAGTTACAACCCCACTCCCCCATGGACCCCTCTGTAAAAAAAATATTGTCATAATACCACTGCTACTTATTTAAATCTATTTCTGAATCAGTAAACATGTGTAATATATATGTATGTTTAGAACAGTCAGCTAAAAACTAACGCTATGTTCACTCTGAGTTGGTTATCTCTCCCCCCCCCCCCCTACACACACCTCACCACCACAATTGTCTTGAGCGACATTAATGTCCCACCTAGGTATACACTGGGGTGGATAATTGGCCTAAAGTGACCGGACAATGGTGAATGAAGTTGAACCCCCTCCCCCCAAACCCATCCCGAACTGATCTGTTAAGTTCATATGGGAAAACGCTGATTATAGACAAAAACATTTTGTAAATACGAATATTGTTAAACAATTTCATTATATTTTAAAGTAATTATTTATTTGTTTTGACATTTATATTTAAATGTGTAGATATATATATATATATATATATTTATATTAAGAGAGTGATTATTTCCCCTATTTCACTTGTCTTAAATAATTTCCCAGGAATTATTATGTAAGAATTTTTGTTTACAAGAATTACAAAACAGATTGTGTTACGTTAATTGTTTTTGGTTGTAGTGTGTGTATATTTATTTTTTTTGAGATTGATACAATTTTTGTTTTGTCGGCCTACATTGTGTTTTTTCTTATTTCTTCAGAGTGCTACTTTCAATTTATTTTACATCATAGCGAAGTAATAACATACAGCTAGTAATTATATATGTATATATATATATATATATATATATATATATATATATATATATATATATATATATATATATATATATATATATATATATAATACACGTATATAGAACGTGTTAAAAGTTCGGCGCCTGTTTTTGCTCTTTTCGCTCCCCCTACAACGAAAACCTGGATACGCCTCTGATAAAATCCCTGCTACAAAAATGATACAAAACAGGAAGCGATTAGGAATCTCATACAACGACCGCATTTTAAAATGTCAGAATGAATGCTGGATGGGATCTAAATATCGGTGGGCAGTCACGATAACCTGCTGATCATAGTTAAAAATAGAACTGATATGTCACAATGTCGTCTGGGATAGCTAAAAGTTTCCTATGGGGGGGGGGGGGGGGTTGTCCATAGATGACGTCACACTCGTAAAGGGGGAGGGGGGGAGGTCCGTAATTTTGTGACGGTGTGTGATGAGGGGGAGGGGGGTGGTTCAGATGGTGCGACGTCACACTTTTGCTTTAGGGATCATCCATAAATGACGTCACACTTGTAGGGGGGAGGGGGGGGGGGGGTCCGTTATTTTGTGACGATGTGTGATGAGGGGGAGGGGGGGGGTGCGTTCAGATGTTGCGACGTCACATTTTCGCATTATAAAAAAGCAATGTTAGAAAACGAATTTTAGACGTTATTTCGCGTTTTAGAAAACTGTTTAATAAATCGTATTAGGAATTGATTAGAATACTCTATTTTGAAAGGGTTCAGGCAAGATTTAAAAAAAAATATCGATGTTTTAAAAAAAATTCAAATGCAATTTTGAGGGGGGGGGGGGTTGTAGGCTGAGGTGTGACGTCATTTTGGGGGGTGTCTGGCTTTTTGTGACGACGTGTGACGGAGGGGAGGGGGGGGAGGTAAAAAACGTCAAAAAAGCGTGACGTCATTTATGGATGACCCCTAAGGCAGGGGGATCACTATGGAAGGTATAGTAGATGTCAAGGACATAGTAGAAGAGAGGAAGACGAAACCTCGACTGCTTGGCCCAGAAATTGACCTGATGACGTGTACAAGACGCACGTGAAACCAGAGTGTGAGCCCTAAACTTCCTGATACAACTTGCCCCGTGTTTGTTTACACTTCCAGAAGATTCTTCAGATTTAGTCCTAATCTGTTTTAATCCACCTAGTCCAAAAAATGTTTTAACAAGCACTGCAATATTGAATAAGATTTGGGTTAATCATATGCAGAATCACAAATATTAATCTCAAGGGTTTTGATACTGAAACGAGTGATTAAACATTTTAAGAAAGTGTTGAGGAATTAAATCTGCACTAAGAAGCCTTGAACATTTGCTTCAATGTATAGTTCATATATCCACACATTGAACATCAATGCCAACAGTTAATTACATTTTTTTCTGAACTAGAAACAGAACTTATTTTCAAAATTTTATGGGAGGTACGGCGTACCTCACGCAAGATTCTGAGCAAACGATACAATGTAAGGTGCAGTTAGGGCTGGTGTTAACTTATGGGAAGAACGTGGCTTTTTAACGCTATAAAAATCTCAGGTGCATCATTAACCACGTTAACAATGTTGCTGCTGGGTTGAGTGTTGAGAGGGGAATCTGTTGAGTAGTTGCGATAAAGAAATAACTAGTCAGAAATAAATATAAATAAAATGGAATTTCATCAACTTTTTGAAAAAATAATTACAAAACTAATACACCGAAAAAATTAAATGACGTGACGGTTTTTCCTAAACTATTAATTTTACTGGAGAAGTAGACTTCAGAACTTAAGTTGACTTGGTCCTTTTTGCTCCTTATGGGACATGGGGCCAGCACCATATCCTTCTATTATGGCCGGACGAAACGGAAGACTTCAGCTAAACGCGAGACTGAAAATTGATATTGTAATCCCAAACCCTTTCAGCTTAATTTAAACAAAAAAAAACGTAGAGTTGCCTTTTTGGTTTATCGACAGATGAAGTAGAGTGACTATGTCTCTGTTACTACTGCATACGAAGGCAGCATATGCCCAGCCACCTATACTTTCCTTAACGAGCTGGGTGGGTTCAACGGATTTGAACTCAGGAGTTTCTGCTCAGTAGTTGTCCCCCGGCCACGCGGTTCCGTAATGAAAAGCCAACACTTGATCCGGAAATGGGATAGGCTCTTTTTTTTTTTACCTTAAGGAGCGCCAAATCAGCATTGCGTCATATATCTGCGTTGCACACACATGAAATGCAATAATAAATCATGGAGACAATACTAAAGAAACACAACACAAGTAAAATAAATATTTATTGGTGTGAACCCCAACGTGATGGATTGTTGTCGTCTGCATGGTGAAATCTAGCCTGTTACTGTGAAGACGATTTTCATTGGGGAAAAAAAATGAAATGTTTATATCGATTTGCCCTCAATACTGAGCATTAATAAAATAAATTATATTGTTTCACTGAATAAAACTGCGGGATATTTGTTTTCCCTCTGTTTTTTTTTTAAACGAAAAGTTTTATAAGTTGGGTTCAGCACTGTACGCAAACATTTTGTTCGTACGTTAGCATTCAGAATTTGATTAGTCTTGTAGTTGTAAGCAAACATTTTGTTCGTACGTTAGCATTCAGGATTTGATTAGTCTTGTAGTTGTTAGTGCTGAATTTGCTTTTAGGTTCGCTTTAATTATGTTTTTTTTTTTAAATTAAAAAAAAGATTGGTGAAATTTCGTAACAGTACGAATTAACAGATCTCGACGTTTTATACCTTCATGAGTTGTAAAAACACTGTTTTCTATCTTGTTTGTATGTCTATGTGTGTTTATGTAAATACGATAGCTTGATTGCCGTTTTATTAAGGTGTACGAAATTTAATATACAGGCCTAAGTATTAGATCTTTGGTATTAATATTTGAACGATTTCCAGTGAACCGATAACCTGAGAACTCTTCAGTTAGGTGGACGAAATTTCAAGGTCGCATACATAATTCTCTCCCTATCTCTCTCTCTCTCTCTCACTACTTTTGCGCGATTTCTGGTAAGCGGAAGTGGTACTTAACTTTATTTCCGTGTTGATACAATACCGTTTCAGTTAGGTAGGCGATATTTCATATAAACGTAATCATCTTATTTTTTCCATAGTGGCAACAACAACGTTCTTTTGACCACCTTCCTCAATTCCCCTTTGTCCTCCCTCACACCCAGTCTACCTCTCAGTGTTAAACTATTTTCTAATATTTTCCCCAACATTTTCGTTAAGCCTACCTCTTTTTTTCATTTACTTCACAGTTTTTGTAAGGACATTTTCGCTCGTCAAGAAGGCCATGCGACAAGTATCTACAATCTCAGTTTCGTTTTTTAACGATTGTCCACCCATATCTGATGGGTGCTTATCTTACGTAAGCGAAAGCAAAGTCGGCTGGGCATAATTCTAACCACATTATCCTTTCATATGCCGAGGTAAAAAAACATATCAACTCTACTTAATCTACCCAATGGGTCGTTAGGTCTAAAGTGAATCTTTACATTTACATTTTTTTTTTGGTGATGCTGAGCTTAGGTCATTCTAGTTTCTATTTAAGATCTGGTTGCAAATATTTAGCGGCGCACTTGTCCTGGCTTTAAAATTATGTAACTAATGAGCTCAATTTGTGACTCAATTAGCTACTTGGTTTCTTTATTTTTCGCATCGATTCATTTAAAATTCTATCTGAGATGCGAATCAACATTTTTATGCATCGTCAATGCTACAATATAACTATCCATCCGTCCACCCGCGCGTCTCCGATTCTTCTTTCTATTAATACGTTCGTCTTTATGATCGTTAATTAATTCTCCCAAACCAATCAACTATCTTTAGCTGCTCTTACCACAATGGTTACATCTTACGTGTTGTTTATCTCGTCATGTCTATACTATACAATAGAAGTAGCAATTTTTAAAATTCATTGATAACTGCGTCTAAATTTGTCTGTAGATAGAGCTGTTCTACAATGAATGAAAGCGGTGAGCTAAACAAAACAGACATAAACACAACTATCATCAACTCTGAGCTTTATAACGCAGGTGAGTACATCATCATATTTTACATCGAAATGATCAAATTAGTAACATCATGACACGGTCACTGAGAGATTTTTTTCTATATAATTGAAACAATTAGACTTAGTGACAGTGGTATTAAAACAAAAGCACACTGTCGAGTTTAATGCTGTAGAAACATACCTTGCTCACCAGTCTAGTACTGTAGGGAAGTAACGTGTAAGCGCACCACTATTTTACATTTTATATATACTTATATATATATATATATACACACACACACACACACACACACACACACACACACACACACACACACACACACACACACACACACACACACACACACACACACACACACACATATATGTATATATACACACACAAATATTTATACAAATATAGGCATACACATTACTAGAGTCAGTTAAATATACATCTCTTATGCGCATATCCTGGTTCGTCTCATAAATAAGACGTAATATTTATTATGGGAAGATACCGTGTAGCCCAGGGGTCGGCAACCTTTAGAAGCGGAAGAGCCAAAAGTTACAATTTTCAAAATTTCCCTGGTTTCAAAGAGCCACTAACATTTTTTTATTTCAAATATTTTTTTTATTAAGATTATTAGTATTTGTGCAAGGAGCTAAAGAGCCGCATCTTGATATTAAAAGAGCCTCAGGCTGCCGACCCCTGGTGTAGCCCCTATGTAGAGTATAATATTTGGAAGATTACATTAGTGTGCTTAAAAGTCATGTTATTTTTACAATATATTGTTCAATCATTTATTTAAGGAATAATATTATATCTATTACCTTTTTCTTCATAAAATTTATAAGTTTTCCTGTTATTAAATAACATACAATATATTCTTTTTTTATTTTCTTCTATTATTATTTTATGCTATTAATTAATTCTTTTATATTTTTAGGTGACGATTACATTGTAATGGTAATTTCTTTTCAGTCAATTGTTATCTTAGTTTATTATTTAAATTCTTTCGAAAATATATTCGTAATGCATGTTTTATGTGTACATAAAACTAAATGTACATAAACATAATATCTCAATTAAAAAAAATCATTAAAAAAAATATCACTTTAAAAACGTTAAGATAAAAAAAATGTGTCAAAAACTGCACTTAAATATCAAGCATTTTTAAAATGTTCACAAAGTTATGTAAAATTGCCATATCATTTGACCGCTTAACCATTCGGCCAAGTCCACGCTTTGAATATAGCATAAAAAGCAAATTAATAAATTGTAATTTAGTCATAAACAAAAGCAATGTTTGTAAAGTATTTGCCAGAATGAACGTTTATATCAATGATATAAGCTATTTGTTTGATATTTTAATTTGTATATTTTGGTAATTATTTTATTTTTAGATAATGACTCACTTTTACTTGTATGGCGGTTCTATAAATGTAGCAATTCTGATACCTACGGTGGCCGTACTGAGCTGTTGCAAGTAAGTAATTTATGACTTTTTTAAAAACCTTTGTATAAATTAGTTTTAGTTTGCGTTGATCGTGCAATGGCTAGCAATTAAATTAAACGATATTTCGCTGTGCGGAGCCACAATAGAAATCATTACACAGGCACATCAGTATATGTAGCCCTTAAAAGTTGAAGAGTACCGGGCTGCTTATATTAATACGAGAAAAATGGCCCGTTGAGGAAGGATACAACGGGCGCTAGACTGATAGTGCTGTCTCTTTTCTCTAAACTAAAACCGAAAATTTCAAGTACCCCTACCCCTCTCCGGGGAGGAAAAAGTCTGAAAGAAACACTGGTGTCGCGCTTAGCCACTACCCGAAGAATTGCATTAAAGAAATTGCAAGAAAACCACTTTTTAGATTACACACATTAATTAGGCGGTAATTTTATTATTGAGTATCGATGAAGAAATTTCTTTTGAGTTGGGGAGGGGGGGGGGGGGGGGCTCAGACGTTCTTACGCGGGGATGGGGCTTCGCCCCTACCCGAAGAATTGTATGCAAGAAACTCTTCACGCAAACCATTTAGATTAGACAAAATTGCCTTTTTATTCAATGTTTACTCGAGAATCAATGACGTCATATTACTGTGTGCACTCTCCGGCTTGAGATTATTTTCTACTCTATGCTAAATGTGACGACGTCATACTTCGGTTTTCGTTTCACTGTGAGAGTTTTTAATTTGCTTGTGTTTTCTCTATAGCAGGGGTTCCCAACCCCGTGCCCGCGGGCGCCAGGGCGCCCGCCGAACGATTCGTATGTGCCCGCCTCTCACTATTCGACAGAGACAGAATTTTTTTCATAAACATTATTGAAAGGTTGAAGGGGATGGAAATCAAAAGTTTGAGGGGGGGGGGGTGCAAATCGAAAGTTTTGTCCCCGGGTGACGCGAAGGGTAGCTACGCCTCTGGAAGGAGTTTGTCGATTTAAAATAGGTGGTGCCCACCACCCTACCGATATTTTATAATGTGCTCTAGAGTTAAAAAAAGGTTGGGAACCCCTGCTCTAGAGCGTTCTTGTCAGATACATAGATAGATAGATAGACAGACAGCGAAACTATTAGTATTAATAGGGCAAATAAAGTAGAGTTTATCTGTTTCAGTGACCATATAAGTTGATAGTCGGGTCAGTTCTATACCGGCTGTTTTTTTTTTACTTTTCCTTAACGTAGATCAGGTACCCATTATAACTGAATGGACTCCTAGACTTTCGGTTCGATCAACTCCATAGAATGGGGGTAGCAGTAAAGAAAACACACGAAAATCTCCCTGTTCTATTGTTTCAGTTCTATTTATTATGATTTTGTTATCGTCTGAGTGTACTAGTATAAGTTTACATTGTTACCACTACCCCTTGTGATATTAAAAAAATGTTAAAAATCTTCAAAGACATTGTTTTTTGTCCTACGCCACTAAATGAACTATATCCAACGAGCCCTCTAGATTTGACTTCGACGCCCCTTTTGATAGCACCCAGTTTGGGTCGGAAAAAACATGGCGCGATTTGTTTTAAAAAAGACATTAAATTAACATCGGAAAATCCGTTTAGTATTTTCCTGTTTGCTTTTCTTACCAGATCAGTATGGAGCTACCGTAACACGATACACATCAACCTCCTCGCTAGCTTTCTACTTAGGTTTACCACGGAGTTGATCTTTGTTGGATCTCTCTATGCTGGATATATTATTGAGGTAGTATTTTAAAATAGTTTTATTTAAAGTATAGCTTTTGTAAATTTCCACATTTTCTCACCTATCTATAACTATCGATGTATCTATGAAACAGCGGTGTATGTATCTGTCTGTTTGTCTGTCTGTCTGTCTGTCCGTCTGTCTGTCTGTCTGTCCGTCTGTCTGTCTGTCTGTCTGTCCGTCTGTCTGTCTATCTGTCTGTCTGTCTGTCTGTCTGTCTGTCTGTCTGTCTGTCTGTCTGTCTGTCTGTCTGTCTGTCTGTCTGTCTGTCTGTCTGTCTGTCTAGGTAATCTAGTGCTGCCCCAAAGCAGTGATATATATATATATATATATATATATATATATATATATATATATATATATATATATATATACATATGTATATATCTATTCCTACTGATTTATTAATATACTTCTTGTTTTAGGAACTGGGTATGAAAATCATCTACTACATCTTTAACTATGTGTGTTTGGCCACCTTCATGTGGATGCTGGTTGAAGGACTCTACCTGCATTTCATTCTTGTCTTACGGCCCTTCCAAGACAGCAAGCCACCATTTTTACTTTTCTACTTCATTGGCTGGGGTTAGGGATTTGAACAATTTCTTTTGTAAATCTTGCGTGTTTTTTGTTAGTAGTAGTCAGAAAATTAATACATTGAATGTTTTAAGTAGCTTTGATGTCGAGTCAAACTCTGACAATTTAGAAGGTGGCACTTAAGTTGGTCGAATGAGACGTTACATTGTCAATGTGGTTGTCTGTGTGGTTAACCGAGCTTAAGATGGTCAATGGGTCTGTCTTGGTCAATGTGTCTGTCTTGATTAACCCAGCTTGAAGTGGTCAATATGTTTGCCTTGGTCAATATGTCTGTCTTGTTTACACTAGCTTGAAGTTGTCAATGCGTCTATGTTAGAATTCAAATTTAAAATCGCTAAGGCTCTGGAACTCATTGTCATACAAGACTGCGTTCAGCATTTTACTATCTACAATTCTACTTTTGAGCATTTGGTTTACTGCAATACTCTAGGGAATATTGATATTTATGTAGCACACCCCCCTAATTTTTGTTCATATTTTTCCGTAAACATTTGTATTAAGCTACCAAATCGACAAAAGGTAGAAATGTATCGATGTTTTTTTTTTGAGAAATCTAAATCTTTTATCATAACAAAGTTTGAATAGGTGTTAGTTTTCATACCTTTTCGCGGTTCCATGGCAACCAGAACTACCATCTGCGGCTATATACATTTTTCGTCAATAGTTTAACACCTATTAATTTATGTATTTATTAAACACTCTGAAACCTGTTAAATAAAAATATTTGTTCCATCTGTGATGCCTTGCCTCAAGGTATGGTCAATGTGTTACAGGTATTCCAGGATTGACGCTAATCACTTGGTCGCTGTGTTTGCATTTCAGCAAATTAAGCCCCTTGGATTATAATGCTGAAACAGTCAAAATTGCATACATTATAACAGTCCCCATTATACTCTGCTTGGTGGTAAGTTGTCAAACATTTAACGCATGCTAATATAATAAAATTGATTTATAAGAAAATAACTGAGCTCCGATTATTCTGTTTTTAACTCATCAATATTGAACTCAACTAACCTCATTAGCTAGTTAATTTATTCCAGACAATTAGTCGTAGGTTAATTTGTTCTTAACGTTAAATCGATAGCTAAAAAATTTGCACGGGAAACATTTGACAGACAGTAAATTTTTAAATTTTGTTTTGTAAATGCCTTTTTCGTTTGAATTTTTAATGTGCTTCTTACGTTTTAAAGAAACTGCTATATTTTCATTTTTTTTTCAATAATGACAAGATTTCTTTCAATGAGTTTGTCAGATCTACTAAAGTAAATACGCATGAATTAATTAATATTATAAAAATTAAAACAAAATTAATTTATCTACCCCGTGAACAGCTTTTTGGAAGCTGCTGAAACGGAAAACATAAAATAAGCAACAAAAGCAATTATTAGAAAAGTAGATTTATACAACTTAATGGTTTATGACGCTTTAGATGTTATTAAGTTCTTTGAGTTCAGTTTCATTATTGTTGTAAGCTTAATCACGATCTTCATGTTTTTAATTTCTTTCAGATCAATTTTATTATCGTCATAAACTTAATCAGGATCATTTTGACAAAACTTACTTCAAAGAATAACACAGAAGCAAGAAAATTGTGGTATTGTAAATCGTTAATGATTCATTCTTAACTAACTTAAATTCAACCAGGCTCTAGACATCAGTTTGTTACAGCGTCAGCAGGGCCGGCGCAACCTATAAGGCGAACTAGGCGGTCGCCTAGGGCGCCATCCCTAGTGGGGGCGCAAAATGTTTAATTGCTTTTATCAAAAAGTACCTAATAATTAAAAACTTTTATAAAGGAGTAGCAATCTCTTTCGGCACCCAGGACGAACTACCAATTTTGCACCCTCACCCCAAAATTAGATCTATATAGGCCTATATTTATTCGCGATTGTGAAAATGCAACCCCACCTCCCTAAGTTGGAAAGGTCGGGGCACTTTTTATCAGTCACTTTACCTTTTTAATTTGGTGTCACATAATTGATGTAGAAACGATTAAATAAATTCGTAATTTAAATTTCAAACATTTCAAACGGTTATCTAATTTTAGTAGGGCTTGTAAGTCTCGTTTTCTCTGACTTTGAATTATAAATCTGTCCTGGTGTATAGAGTTCTGTAATGACAGGGTGTTCAAAATTATTGTACTTGTTTGGTAAGTTTTGTTGAATCGTTTAGATTTGGGAGTAACGACCGAAGGCTGTTGCTGATATGGTTTCGTAGGTACAAAGTATTGAAGTGTTAAAGTATCATAACTTTTATTCGGCTGTTTTGTAGTTGAAGATATAGTGGAATCTGATTGGTAACAGAGAAATGAGAATGCAGATGATGACGTATCGTAGTTCTGGAGTTCGGGAGTATTGATTCTTGTGGTATTAAGGTATCGAATTATATTGACTGTTAAATGTCCAGTGAAATCGTTGTTGGTTGGGAGTACCGCATGTAGAGCTTGGTGAAGTTAAACGAGTTGGTGTCGTAGTTCTGGAGCATCGATTCTAGTTATGTTTAGGTATCGAAGTTTGATATGTGTTGTGAATGTAGTAGAGTTGAAAAATCTTTAGTTTATTAGGTATCTATATTTACACTCTTAAAGTATTAAAATATAATATAAAATAGGATGGAATTTATAACCAACCGTTAACTTTAATTTTTTTATCAAATTGTAATCTTTAAAATATTTATTTAATAATTTTAGCAATGTCTAAAACAGTTACCCTTGTTTGATATTTTAAAAGACATCCCTTAAATTAGGGGAGCCAAAATTTTAACCAATAAGTTAGACAAGAAACTGTTATTGGCTGCATGTCATCAAAATTGAATAGAATATGTTATAATATAGATACCGCTTTTAAACTTGCAAATAAAACATTCAGTTAAGTATTCAATAGGTAAAATATATTATTTTTACAAGTTACATAGATAATATAAAAGATTTGTTAATTATAACGAAATTTATAGCGTTTTAGTGTGTTTTTAAAACATGTCTTAGTTACACTTGGTTAATTTAGCTATTCTTGTGAAAGTTATTTCCCTTGAATAAAATTTTGGTATCTGGATTTTCAAATGGGAGATAAATCGTTGCTTAACTTTACATTCATTTTAAATTCCTGCACCTTAGGTTGAAATCTTACACATAAATACAAATGTAAGTTATTATTTACAATTGTAAAAATTTTATACAGCTTAAGTTCTAAACAAAATAGCTTGGTATTTTTTTTTTAGCATTATCAAGTTGAAAACAAATACATTAGTAGCCGTTGTAGATTGCAATACTTAATGCTAGTTTACTTACAGTCTTAGTCGTAAATTAAACATCTAATTAATTGTCTTTTCATATTTTTCACCCTCTCCCAAAGGATCCATATATAACAATTTAAGGCTGGAATCTATAACATTAAAAACCTTTTATTTAAAAAAAATCGTTAAATAGTCACACAATATAGACATTTTACAATTATAACTAAAAACAGTCAAACTTAAAACAGGTAAGTTCCGTTTTGGAACTCACCTTAGGAGGTCTGCCGAGAGCCCAAATCTACAAAGAACGTTTTTTTCAGTGTTTTTTCCCCCACATTTTTCTCGCGGGAGGGTGGAGAAGCACTTAAAATTTTCTGGAGGGGGGGGGGGGGCTATATCGTAAAGTACAAAGTAGACTCGTGGACTAAGCAGCATTTTTAATAAAATGTGATTACGCTTGCAAACAAAGGAGGCAATATAAAATATGATTTTGGTGTAAACTTATAATGTGTATGCAATTGATAATAAATTAATATTATATGTCACTTTTAATTAATTGTTTTCTTATACATAATTATGTTTTAGTAATTAAGGTGCGTTTTAAGAAGTTTTGCGTAGGACGCTAAATAACCTGGCGCCGGCACTGATCGTCTGCCATCCAACTACCAGTGACTTTGTTCCTCTGTATAATTGTCTATATGTCTTTCCGTTATCCAGGCCCATACCCATACCCAGAACTTTATCTCTATCCCTATCGCTGATGATTCTTCTATCTCAATCCCGACCCTTTCCATATCCTTAACACTATCCCTATCCCTATTTTCATCTCTATCTTGATTTCTACCTCTGCTAATTAATAATAGGGCTGATAAGTAGGTCACCAAACAGTTCTGTAGCTCATGCAGGTTTTATTGAGCCGTAGAACTGGTTGGTGACCTACTTACCAGCCCTATTAAATAACCTAAATGTTTATATTTCGCGTGCATGTTTTAGAAGTTATTATTTACTGTAACAATATTGACCAGAGTATCTCCCCTTCAGGCAGGTGTCCAAATCAATGATGATTCTGATATTTTTGCTTGGCCCAATACATCTTGTGTTTGCTTTCCCGATGTATAGCGATCATAACCCCACGTTACATCATGTGTACATGGTTTATAATATCGTGGCTCCACATGTACAGGTTAGTTGTGTTTGTAATTTAATTAGAAATCTTCATTTAGTTTTTTATGCAAAGCAAAACGTTTTATGAGTGATGTCGTTTATTTAATGCTCTGATTTGATGTGACGAAGTTTAGGAATACGTAGGGCAGATAATTTATAACTGTGTTTTCATATTTTAACTTATTTGTGTTCGTTAGTTATTTTCTATGGAACTGAAAGTGGAAGTTAACATAAGTTAATAAGTTAACGTAACTGACATACGCATTTGTTTTTCAAGTCAAATTTGCGCTCAGAAAAAGCACATTTTCTTGCAGAGTTTCTTCCAGGCTTCTCTTCGGCGGGGGGGGGGGGGGTGGGGGGGGGGGGGGCCGCGAAGCCCCCCCCCCCCCCCCCCCCCCGAAATTTTTTTACCGCCCCCCCCCCCCCGAACGAAATGAAATTTATATAATTTATATAGAAAATATATACTTTTAACAGTGTCCGCTCCCCCCCCCCCCCGAAGAAAGTTTACCGCCCCCCCCCCCCCCGAAAATTTCAAGTGCCCCCCCCGGAGAAAAAAGTCTGGAAGAAACACTGTTTGCATGAGCTTTAGTTTCTATTCTGTATAGCTTATGTGCGTACATTCAATGTGTCACCCAGTATTTTACCACTCTCAACTGTAATTTCATCCTTTGGTTAACTGTTTTACACATCTCTAAATAAAATTTGTTGTCACTTGTTAAGTCTCGCGTGAAATGATTTTGCTGGCTGTATTTACCACCTGCCATAACTGTTTATCTAGAGCCTTAATTTATTCATTGAGGGTAGATAAGTTGAGTGATTCGGAGTTCTGGCCTAATTCGCACTATGGCCTAATTCGCACTATGGTCATAGCCATCGTTGGTTCTATACGGGGAACAACGTTCATGTGCCTCAATGATTTTCTTTGATTAAATGTAGAACTTTTTTTAGTGCAATCTTCCACATGCCGGTCTAAGTTCTAGATAGTTCTGTTGATTGTTAGATTTGTATATTTGCACTCTAATTGGTATTGAGCAGGCTATATATCAATTGTATTTAGGTTATAAATAAATAAATAAATATATATATATATATATATATATATATATATATATATATATATATACTAATTTTACTATTAACTAATTATAGAAAATAAAGTAAAATGATGTTTTATTTCTACAGTCCATTATCTGTGCCATTTTCAGTTTATCAAGTGGAAAGGTAATTGCCATTTGAATGTGTAATTTACCCTGACTTCTTCATGCATTTATGTATAAGTTGTTGAATGTGTTCTTATATTAGTGCTCTTTAATACACAAAAAATCGATAGTTTTTACTTAAAAATATTGTGACAGAACTTAGCTGTTTGCCCGCGCTGGGCATTGTTATTAGGATTATCAGTTTTTCACAATAGAACCTGATATTACTTTTACAAAAGATTTTATCTTTTCATTTATGGTTTTAATCGGTTAAGTTTAATATTTAGCAGGGATATGTTTAGATGTTTGGTAAAATTATAGGTTGTATTTTGGTGATAACACGAGGTGGCGTGGCCTAGCGGTAGAGTGCTAGACTGCTAATTCGAGAGTCTCGAGTTCTTAATCCGGGTTCAAATCAGTGGAACGTCCCTGAGTCAACCCAGCTCTGATGGGTACCTAACTTACGTTAGGGAAACAAAGGCGGTGGGGCATAGTGCTGACCACACAATCCCTTCATATGCCGAGGTCTCTGAAGCAGATGATCTCTAAATCATCTGCCCCATGTGTCTTGGGCAAGATCGGGAAATGATGATGATAATTTGCATCATCATCACAAACCAGTCGTTATTTTTACAACATATTTCTACCGACATTTTCTTAAATTTTCATTCAAAACCGTCTCAGGTACCACAAACCTTCACGCGTCGATGGTCACGGTTCAAAGACTTGCAGGCGATCCAAAACATAACGTCACAAAAACGTAAAAGGTCATCGAACACCACAGTCTCAAGTTAGTATTTTAATACAGCTCTGTAATGTCTCAAGTTAGTATTTTAATACAGCTCTGTAATGTCTCAAGTTAGTATTTTAATACAGCTCTGTTATGTCTCAAGTTAGTATTTTAATACACCTCTGTTATCTCAACCTATCTGTAATATTCATTGAATGCATACAGCCCTACGAATTCAAAACCGTCGTTTTGAAATAGAAAATGCAATTTGTGATGTACACAATTTTACCAATTTTTCCCGAAAATTTTAATATATTAGCATTGTTTAATGAAAATTAAATGTCTGGTGTATAATTACACATTTTAAAGCATAGATTTTAATATACACACTATAACGTAATGGCCTAGCAATACGGAACAAAGAAAAACTTTAGATCTTCTTACCTTTTGAAATTGAAAGCGTCAATAGGTTAGGTTAGGTTTGCCTGTCGTCCCTACTGGGACATAGGCCGCTGACAAGAGCCTTCCAGACGTCTCTGTCCAAGGCTAGTCTCTCCAACTGTCCTCAGGTATATCCGATCTTCTTGGTGTCTTCTTCCAGGTCACGTCTCCAGGTCTTTCGTGGTCTGCCTCTCCTCCTCCTGCCTTGTGGATTCCAGGTGAGGGCCTGTCTTGTTATGCTTGATACATGCTTCCTGAGTGTGTGTCCAATCGATTTCCATTTTCTCTGGCGGATCTCTACTTCAACTGGCAGTTGATTTGTCCATTGCCATAGAACATCATTTCTGATGGTTTTAGGCGAGCGAATTCGCAGGATCTTTCTGAGGCATGCTTTTCTAAATGATTGTATTTTTACTTATTTATAGCAGTTATTCTCCATGTCTCGGCTCCATAGAGTAAAACATGTTTTACTAGTGTAATGAAGATCCGGATTTTTATTCCAAGGGTTAAATCTCCAGAACCCCAAATATTTTTTAGTTGGTGGAAGACTGTTCTTGCCTTGCCCGTCCTTATTTTTATGCCTGACAGCATCAATATTTAAACCTATATTATTTGTTCGGGATTGATTCAAATTTAAATGGTTAATTTTTTTTCCGTATGCACAAACGTTTATGATAAAATTATAAGTCAACCAAATAAAAATAATTTAACATAATTATTCACAGGCTATTTGATATATTAGTTAAAAAAACTATTCATAGTTTATTTCTAATTTGTCTATTACATTCATGCCTCTTACCTATGTCTTCAAGTAGTCTATTGTATAATATGATACTAAACATTATTACTTATATTCCCTCATAAATTAACTACACACAAGTAATTTCTCCCCTTTATAGGTGTCCGAGCTTTCTCAAAGTTCTTCAAAAAATAAGTGCCAATCAAGGTCTACTAACATGATGGGTCAACAATAGTACCTGGTTACTCTCCCTTATGCTAATTCTTTGGCTAATTAGATACAGTTTACGACTAATTGTTATTTTTCTTCAAGTTTACAGCAAATTTTTTTATATGTAGCATGTCTAAATGTTGGTTTCTATAAATATCTCATTTGTTTAATTATTTTACTTCTCGCAGCACAAGTCCCTAGTAGCCTTGGCAAGGACGAGTCAGTGTACTTAAAATTAGAACAATTAGGGGCGATAACCGAGGTCACAGAACAAGGGGAGACTAGCATTAACCACGCATCCAAGGAGATCCAATGAAATGTTTTATAGCAAATTTTCCTTTTTTGCTCTATACAACTGTATATCTGAACAACGGAACGGCATGAGGATATAGACACAACGCGTAAAAAAAAAACTATGTACTTTTCTGGCACGCCGAGGATTGCTCATGAAAAAAACCCTCATTAAATAGCTTCACACATAAAACTTTAAATAACAGTGTTTTATATCGAGAAAAGTCGAGTGTATGAGGAGCCCATGAAATAGTTTGGAGAAAGGAAAGTTGAGTATGAGCTAGTTAACGTCAAAGGTTATGTGTAGACTGTATGTTATATGAGAAACGTGTGATGATTTATTGGTGAAAAAGTGACGTTAAATACGGCTTAAGGGTTATGATATGGGTAATGAATATGGCTTATCCACCTGTTATGGTAGCATAACAGGCAGAGTATCTACCTACGTTATACATGGCAGAGTGTCTAACCACGTGATACATGGCATAGTGTCTACCTACGTTATACATGGCATAGTGTCTAACCACGTGATACCTGGCAGAGTGTCTACCTACGTGATACATGGCAGTGTCAAACCACGTGCCACTTGACAGTGTCTACCCACGTTATACATGGCATAGTGTCTACCTACGTTATACATGGCATAGTGTCTAACCACGTGATACCTGGCAGAGTGTCTACCTACGTGATACACGGCAGAGTGTCTGACAATGTGATACCTGGCAGAGTGTCTACCTACGTGATACATGGCAGAGTGTCTGACAATGCGATACCTGGCAGAGTGTCTGACCACGTTATACATGGCAGAGTGTCTAACCACGTGATACCTGACAGAGTGTCTACCTACGTGATACACGGCAGAGTGTCTGACAATGTGATACCTGGCAGAGTGTCTGACCACGTGATACATGGCAGAGTGTCTAACCACGTGATACCTGGGAGTGTCAAACCACGTGATACCTGGGAGTGTCAAACCACGTGATACTTGACAGTGTCTACCCACGTGATACATGGCAGGGTGTCAACCCACGTGATACATGGCAGAGTGTCTACCTACGTGATACTTGACATAGTGTCTAACCACGTGATACCAAGCATATAACCCACTTACCAAAGCTTTGCTCCATGATTGTTCAAAAAACCATGTTGTGGATTCACTGGACTCCATATTAAAGACATTTAATATCTACGACCAAATCTATTTTTTTGTAAGCTTGACAGCTATAATATGTGCAATTTATTCTATCTGTTCAGATTTTTAAAAATATAATTACAAAATAAATAAAGAAAATATAAATTAAATGACATTTATTTATCAAATGATATTTCTATTATTTGTTTTAGTTTTGACGTGTCTTTATTTTCAACAGTTTTTCTGTTGTAATTAAAAAATCTATCTTTTACTTACAAATGTTCATTATGTAATTCTTGCAAGAAAGTTGTGTATTCACGACACAGTGTAACTTTTAAAGTAGTTAACAATATAGTTAGGATATTTTTTTTTCTAAATTTGGAGTTACAGATAATTTCAAACCACATGTTCAATGACAGCCCTAAAAGCTCACGCGGGCAAAACTTTAGTTCGTGGAAACGTGAGGGGTCAAAGGTAACGGCAACAGAAATGTTATCACAGTAAAAATATATCAAGACCAATTTGTCGGTTGGAAAAGGCAGAGACAAAATACGTCAGGCTCATTCTTCCCAAAGGGGTTTATAGTCATGCAAACAACAGCCAAATTGCCAATGTAAAATATGTCGATTCGATCGCAGTGTATATTTTGTATGGCATTATATTTTGGCGGAAAAGTATCTTTAAGTCAGAACTAAATCACATACAACCAGCCACATAAATCACTCTTTCTTAAAGAGCAAGTCAGAAGACAAGATTGTAGAAATGACAAATTTTGACGTTTTACTTCATCCAAAGTCGGAATTTTTTTTCTGTATGTCTGTGTATCTGTATTTGAACTCGATAATCTGAGTACAGTTTTAGCTATATTGAAGGCATTTCATATACATGTATAAGATTTATTTCAAATTTGAAATTCTGTATACACGTTCGAGCGATTTCCGGTAAGAGGTACTTACTCTATAGTAGGTGGACGAAATTTCACAAAAAAATGTATAGCATTGTAAGCGCAGGTTTGAATAAATTTTGAAGGATTTCCGGATGGTTGGAAGTTGTACTTTACTCAGTTCCGTGGGAATACAATAACTTGAGTGCTGTTTCATTAAGGTAAACGAAATTTCACGTATAAGATCTTATACTTGGATTACTTTCAATTTTTGAATGACCTCCAATATTCGTAAATGGTATTTTACTCTATTTCTGGTTTCTAAAATACCGATAATGATAGTTTTTTGTTTACGCCATTTCCAACTTAGAAAAAAGACCCACAGGAATTCATCTATTTTGATCGTCATGGTCGGAAAATTGCGAGCTGACTTCAAACTTTTCTCATAGGTCAAGACTGGATTACAATGCTTTGTGAAATAAAATGAGGCTTAATTAGATGTTAAATTAAACTTTTGAAAAAAATAATAATCAAAGTTTCCTTTATAAAGCAATAACATTTCGCTGTATTATACACATATTGTATTCGTTCACTCTGTGCACAATTAATTTTTCATCTGGGTTTTATTCTATTTTTAAAATTTAATACGTTAGAAAATTTAAGGGAGATCATTCCCGTTCATTTAAAACCGCCTGTGTGTTTAAAAGCTTATCATTATATAAAGATAAAAAAAAGTGTTTAATTAATAGAATCAAGTTGCAACTCGCATTGATAGCCTATGATTCAGGTGTCAAGGCCAGCTCTCTACCTTGATAAAGGTGGAAGCAACACACTGAAAGGCATTTTTCTTTTTTTTTTCTTTCTCGCTTACGAAGAATAGAAGAAGTATTGTAATCGTGCAAAAATAGAAATCGAGATGTTCACAAATCTCGACGTTTTACACCTCCCTGTGCCCAGTGTTTCTTCCAGACTTATTTCTCCTGAGGGCACTTACTATTTTCATGGGAGGGTGGGGGGTGCCTCTGCCGGATGATACTTAGTTTTGCATTTTGTCCGCATGTCGCTGTGTGTGTGTGTGTGTGTGTGTGTGTGTGTGTGTGTGTGCAATTGGTGTGCAGTTCTTTTTTTTCTACGAGATTATATTCTATTTTAAAAAGTTTAAGTAATAAAAATGGATTAAAGATCATGTGAATATCCCGATTTGCCATCCCCGTAGTGTTATATAAGAATATTCGAGAAAGTTTAGGGGAGATCGCTCCCGCTTTATCTATTATATTATCCATCAAATAATTTCACTAAAATTTAAAAAGACCCAACGCTTTTCTTAATAGTTATTTTAATAAACGTGCATTATTATACAGTGACATTTAGTGCACACTGATATAAAAGCTTGTTATTGAAAGGTTTTCGTTTTTTTTTTTAATTTTTTTTTACTTTCTAGTACAAGGAGTATAAAGCAAGTACATCGTGCTAATAATAGAAATAGTTGATATTATCTCATGTCTATATTTTTAACACCTTCCTGAGTAAAAAAAACAAAAAACAAACCCGAGACTTGTAATTTTGTCTGTATGTATGTGTGTGTGTCTGTGTGAGTGTATGTAAATGAGCATATGAAGATGAGTGTATGTGAATGTGAACACGATAACAAGGGTGCCGATTCAGTTAGCTGTTCGAAATTTTACGTATTAGTAATATATATATATATATATATATATATATATATATATATATATATATATATATATATATATATATATATATATATATATATAAATAAAATTAAAAAAAACTAATACATATTTATATACTAATATAGTGAGTCACAGTTACTGTACATACAACTGTATCATCCACCCCTGCCGTTAAACAACTAATTAGTTTTTATTTACGCATTTGGTTTCGGTCTGTGTGACACATACATCATTGATATCATCACCGTGGTAGAAAACCGCCCATCCTGGATATGATTGTTTCATTGTATCAATTATTCAACTCGTGCGAATACAATGTTTTGTATTGATACGTATGATATGGTGAGGGTACACACATGTACTTTACCTGGAGTGTGCTGCGTGTTAATGTGCAGGTTCTGGTTATAACCACCTTCATATGTGGTTGTGGTGGTTGAGGGGTGTGTGGTCTACAGCCAGAGAGGTTATGACCACCCTCATATGTGGTTGTGGTGGTTGTGGTGGTTGAGGGGTGTGTGGTCTACAGCCAAAGAGGTTATGACCACCCTCATATGTGGTTGTGGTGGTTGAGGGGTGTGTGGTCTACAGCCAGAGAGGTTATGACCACCTTCATATGTGGTTGTGGTGGTTGAGGCGGTGTGTGGTCTACAGCCAGAGAGGTTATGACCACCTTCATATGTGGTTGTGGTGGTTGTGGTGATTGTGGTGGTTGAGGGGTGTGTGGTCTACAGCCAGATAGGTTATGACCATCCTCATATGTGGTTGTGGTGGTTGTGGTGGTTGTGGTGGTTGAGGGGTTTGTGGTCTACAGCCAAAGAGGTTATGACCACCCTCATATGTGGTTGTGGTGGTTGAGGGGTGTGTGGTCTACAGCCAGAGAGGTTATGACCACCCTCATATGTGGTTGTGGTGGTTGTGGTGGTTGAGGGGTGTGTGGTCTACAGCCAGAGAGGTTATGACCACCCTCATATGTGGTTGTGGTGGTTGAGGGGTGTGTGGTCTACAGCCAGAGAGGTTATGACCACCCTCATATGTGGTTGTGGTGGTTGTGGTGGTTGAGGGGTGTGTGGTCTACAGCCAGAGAGGTTATGACCACCCTCATATGTGGTTGTGGTGGTTGAGGGGTGTGTGGTCTACAACCAAAGAGGATCTGAACCCGAGTTCTATATTTAGATAATGTATAGACATATAGAAGCTTCCTTGAACTCGGACGCTGTTCTGTCTTTTCTACGACTTTAGTACGCACCTATGTCTACCTTTGGCATTGGAAATAATACTTAACATTTATATTGCTAATTTATCTTGCCTGGAGTCAGTTTGTGTCCCAGTATGATTTTTTAAATACTGATTAGATTTCTATATCTAGAGAAAGGCTGCCTCGTCCCCTTTTACCATTTAATGTCACAAACTAGCGCAATATGCATTATGGCATACATATCAAAAGTCTGGCTGCTAACAATTTCTAAAGAGTCCCAAGCAAAAAGACTAGACCTGACATCTACTACTAGAACACGTGATAATTTGAGACAGGTGTGAGGAAATTATCCATGTCAGACTTAAGAGGACTGGCGTTTATTGTCCCAGAGCTTTTACAGATGTACCGTCCCTAGCACTGGCAACACCACAAGTTGTAGACACCATTAGCAACATTTACAGATGTACCGTCCCATAGCACTGACAACAAGCTGTAGACACC